TTCTTGCATGCTGAATGCTCAGCTTATGGCAATGGGAAAAGCATTGGGGTATGGGATGAAATGGAACGAGAGGCAGGGACTCCAATGCGCCTCCATACCTGTAGCCTGGTAGATGGGCAACTCAACACGCAGCTCAACTCTTGTTCAAAGCAACCTGGTATAGGTTAACCTGATGCAGGCTAAAAAGACAATCCCCACCATACATTAAAGAGAGTGATTAATGTTTGGAATGATGCTCTATGGCTGGAAAAACAAAGTCAGGGAAGCCATGTACCGTATATACTCGAGTATAAGTCGACCCGAATATAAGCCGAGGCACCTAATTTTACACAAAAAAACTGGGAAAACTTATTGACTCGAGTATAAGCCGAGGGTGGGAAATGCAGCAGCTACTGGTAAATTTCAAAAATAAAAATAATTAATTTGGGAAACGATCTCACTATCATGAAAGGTTTAATTGATTCACTAACCCAAAAGAAGAAGATGATGATGACAGCGGGAGGCAGGAGTCACTCTCTTCCCCTCCCTCGGAGGCCCCCTGAGTCAGGAGTCACTACCGCCGGCGTGGCCCCAGTCCCGCCGCCTCGGGAAGGGAAAGGCAAAGCGCTTTTTGCCTTTCCCTTCCCGGCTGGGGCTGTTGGGAGTCGCTGCCGCCGGAGGCCGCGACTCCACACCATTTTTTTTTTCAGAGGGGAATCTGACTTGAGTATAAGCCGAGGGGGATTTTTTCAGCACAAAAAATGGGCTGAAAAACTAGGCTTATACTCTAGTATATACAGTAATTACTTTCCTTGTCCTGTACCAAATCTGAAAAGACATCACCACTTGATGTTCTTGTTCCTGAGGCATAATGCAGTTTGGGAATCACATCAATGCAATTGATGACAGGATACATTACTGCTGACTCATGGATTAGATTATGGGTTGGATTAGGGACTTTTAAATTCTATAGGTATCAGTAGTATAGAAGGAGCATTTTTCATAAATAGCAATATTTTGTCAATCGTGAGCATCCCTTGTGCCCTTTAACTAAGTGAGAACTATTTCATGAACTGCATCAAATAAAACTCAGATTGTATTTGTGTATTGGACTATATATATTTCTGAGTCTACACAGGGAAATGGTGGTGAACTGACATGATTGCTTTATTATTTTTATGTCTTCACTTTATGTGGCACTTTGAAGTGTAAAACGTATAGATCCTTACTCTGCTACACTTGTACTGAAATCAGTTGACTGAAAACTGTGAGAGATAGGATAGTGATGTTATGTTTATCGGTCAAAAAACACCGTGTAACTCTTTCATTTTTCTTTTCAACTTTTTAAAAAAGAAAATTTCCAAAGAAGCAATAAGAGAAAACGGGATGGTACCACTTTAAAATTCTAGATTGTATCGTAACAATCTGCAAGCCTGGAACTATCTACACAATTAACAATTATGTTCAGAATACAGATATCATATTAGATATCATATTAGGCTTTTTGAGCAATTGATTTTGTGCTATCAAGTTCTTTTCAACTCCTGCTGACTATATAATTTTTTTGTCCATGGTGATCCATCTCTAACATGGTTTTTCAGATCTTCCAACAATGTTGTCGTCGTCGTCATCATCATCATCATCACTGTAAAACTAACTCCATCTAACCTTCTTCTCCTCTCTTCCATCTTTCCCAGCATTAGAGACCCAGAGAGCTGGGTCTTTGTATAACGGGTCCAGGTTAGGATAAATCAATCCTAGTCATTTGTGCCTCAAGTGAAAATTCTGGATTGATCTGTTTTCGTGGCTGTTTACAGTATTCTCTGGACTTCAAAAGTGTCAGCACTCTTCCTATCTTCCTATCTAGCTATATTGACTTTGTTATTAGATAGATATTAAAGTGTTTCAAAGTCAATTTTATTCTGCTGCTTTTAAGATGCACACAGCTTTTAGGAGGACCAGCTGCAAATATTTTCTCTCTCTCTCTCTCTCTCTCTCTCTCTCTCTCTCTCCCCATTCCCTCCCCACTCCTGGGGGAAGGTTATTGCAAAATCCCATTCCCTCCCCACCCACTAACCTGCTTTCCAACTCCATTCTCCTGTGCAGGGCAACAAAAGAAGACCCAGCCAATCAGCTGGGATTCAGGAGGCAGAGTATAGATGGGGCCAGTCAGAGGGTGATATTTGCTGATTCATTGAAATACTCAAAATTTCCACTACTGGTTCTCCAAAACTGGTCAGAACCTGCTGTATACCACCTCTGCAGAACACCTGCACCAAATAATGGCTGAGAAGATAGCTACCATATTTTCTTAAAGAAAAATGAAATAAGCACTTTTGTGGAGCAATAATAAGATACTTTTTAGCTTCACTAGGTATAAAAGGTTATAGTTCTTATCTATTTTCTTACAGTTGCCAACAAAAACATTTTATTTCTTTGACGTTTTCCCCCCAAAGCATGAGAAAGCTTATTTCCCTAAAATCATATTTTCTATGCAGAACTGCTCATGTAGCATTATAACAGAAGATTATAAATTACCTCATGAAACTGAACACAACATTTAGGTAATGCCCAGTTTCCAATTCATGATTTTATAAGATGCTATGTAGAGTTTGTTTTTTTCTTACAGTGAAAAAGGACTCTGTTTTAACTGAATATAAAAAATCAGTGTGCCATCAGAGTATTTTGGTTCTTCATCATTATATAATTAAAAGATATCCCAAGGCTTCTGAAAAGGATCTACCTCAATTATAAAATCCTTTTTAGAAGCCTTGGGCTGTCTTTTAATTATATGGTGAAATTCATGACAAATATACTACTTATTTTAGCTGCAGACTTAAAGAGTACAGTGAAAGATAAATCCATTTTCCATCCTTGGTTCAATATACAAAACATGATATTTCTTGAAAATATTAATTCAAAATCGATTTACATATCCACATTCACTACTTCTGGATAGGAAAGGCCTAAATATGAGAGCCAGTTGCCAGAGATAAATATAATCAAGCAATATTCATGAGAACGATAATATACAGAAAGCTCATGTGCTGGAAATTGTGAAATAATAGTAATAGCAATAGCACTTAGACCAGGGGTCTTCAAACTTGACAGCTTTAAGACTTGTGGACTTCAACTCCCAGAATTCCTCCTCCAGTCATGTTAGCTGAGGAATTCTGGGAGTTGAAGTCCACAAGTCTTAAACTTACCAAGTTTGACAACCCTTGACTGAGACTTATATACCATTTTACAGTACTTTTCAGCCCTCTCTAAGCGGTTTACAGAGTCAGCATACTTCCCCCAACAGTCTGAGTCCTCATTTTACCGACCTCAGAAGGCTGGAAGGCTGAGTCAACCTTGAGCCTGCTGAGATTCAAACTGCCAAATTGCAGGCAGCTGGCAGTCAGCAGAAGTAGTCTGCAGTACTGCACTCTAACCATTGTGCCACCGTGGCTCCTAATAATGTAGTTGCCTGCATAAACTGAGCCTCATGCTTCATTTTCTGCATTAGTTTTATACATTTTTGATAATTTGGAATAGATAGAGCCTTACTCCTGTGGTTATCGTGGGCAGACAATTGCTCCATCCATCTGTAAAAGAATGATGCATATAAAAGCTATAAAAACAGTCACTTCATGACTACCTATTGACATCTCTTTTCACCTCTGTAATGGTAAACAACTAAGTGAATGAGAGACATCATTAAATGCTTTCATACATTTGGTAGTGAGATAGGGGTCTGTAGGAAAGATCAAAATGGCAACCACACTGCTCTGTGATCAAAGCTCTGCTTGCTTTTTATATGCATTTGGTGTATGGTACATTAAAAAAACATATTTCAATCACACCATTGTGGCTCCCATCTTGGCTTTTTTTTTTTAACGATACTGTAAGGCCTTTCTCATTTGATGGATTGACATTGGCCGGGCTTAGGAAGGGTTCACTGCAATTCATTCATTCATTCATCCATCCATCCATCCATCCATCCATCCATCCATCCATCCATCCATTCATTCATCTATCTTATATAGCTAGCAGGACATGAGGTACATGAGATACAAAAGTTATGCCAAGTAAGTAAGACACAGGCTTTTTCTACAGAACTAGGCTTCTAGGTTTGGAGGCAAACCTTAAATTCATTAAACCACTGTTCCAGCCAATCATCTAGATCAGGAGTCGCCAAGCTTTTGGACCTCAGGGACCACCAAACTCACAATTTTAAATCCTGCAGACCACTAATTTGAATTTTGACTGACGGTGGCTTGCTGACATTGATGCAAAAGTCGGCCCCATATTCCAGAGCTGCAGTAGTCACAGGACTACTACAGGAGTTATTTCTATACTGATTATGAAAGGAGCTTTCTGAAGACTTCTGAAGATATTTGTGATTTAATAGACATGATGGAAATTTTTACTGGTCACACCATGATACTCTTTAGACATATTGAAGTGTTCCTGGAGTTTATTGTCTGTCTGTCTGTCTGTCTGTCCGTCTGTCCGCCCGCCCGCCCACCCACCCGCCTGCCTGCCTGCCTGTCTGTCTGTCCATCTCTCCATCTATCCATCCATCCTGAAATTTAAAAAATAGCATATATAACATTAAAATAATCTTGGCATTACATTGGAAAATAGATTCAAAAGATTAAATGAGAAAGATGTATTAGCTATGGTCACCACATTGAGTTATCAAAGTAATGAAGGCCCTATATAAATAAAACAATATTTAACTGTTTCAGAAAATACTCATCCCTTTGTGCATTTTTTCTCTCTCTGTCTAGATTTTGGAAAAATATGTCCACCATTCTGAAGGTTGGAATTGATCTATGCATTTATTAACCTGAGGATACTTTCCAAGATCTCCTGGTTTCATTATGCAGGACATATCCTTACTAAAAAAAAATACATACCAGATACTGTATCCTGGAACCCTTGACTTAAGTGTTGAAATTTTTGTGATGTTTAGTTTTTTGCAAAGGATTAAGAAAACACCTCATTGCACAAGGTGCTTTTTGTTTGGAAACACTATGGGAAACATTTGGGTTCTGTTGCTTTTTGCCCTGAATCTGAAAACCGCCTGCTCCACCTTTGTCAGCATCAACCAGGGACTAAAAGTGATGAGAGGTCAATCTGTCTTCCTGTCACAAAAGGAGTTGGAGTTTTCCATCCCCAGAGAGAAGGACGCATGTAAAATAAAAGTGGTGATGAATGAGCCAGTCGCCCAGAGAGTTGGGAAGCTGACCCCACAGGTATGTGGATTTCAACTATAATTGTGCAGTGATTATTTGATGAGATGAAGTCTATTTATTTGACAAGATAGAGTGCTGAGCTCTAGCTGATTTTCTCTCTGGCAATGACATTTTATGGCTGATGAAAAATGAATAAAAACTTGAGAATGATAGCCATCAAATAAAACAACTATTCATCAAAAATAATGTTCTACTTACATAATGGAATGTATGGATGATCTTGGAGAACAAGAGGAAGAGATACTGCCTAGGAAATGATGGGATAGATTTCAAGCTCTAGAAATGTCCAATATGATCTTTGGGCATTCCAGATATATACTGTGTTTCTCATATAATAAGGCCGGGTCTTATTTTTTTTTGAGCCCCGAAAAAATGGCTAGGTCATCTTTTCGGGGGTGACTTAATCCCCCCCCTTGCATCTTCAGGCGGGCGGGCGGCGACAGCTTAGATGTTGACCTCGGCGTTGGTGGGGCACTTCGTATCGGGGTCAACGCAGGCAGCACCATATCCGGGTGTGCAACAAAAGTACTTCCTAACGGCAAAACCCCCCCACCATTCCCCCCCATTTCGCATGTTTTAATATAGGCCTTAATTTGGGGGGAGGGGCTTAATTTCATTTCATGCCTATAAAACATGCTGGGACTTCCTATTGGGGAGGCTGTACTGTTGGAGAAACAGGGTAACACCATCCAACTTAATGTATGGATGTAGTAGCAATTGAGATCCTGTAGATCCTGCAGCATACTGCTGTGCCTAATATCTGGGGAGGTGGGGGGCTCTTTGCCTCTTTGCATGATCTCACTGGTAAGTCCTGGACTAGTGCAATGATCTCACCTGTTAAGATCATCACTATTCTTAAGGATTGGTGAGGGGATTAACCAATCCTAATGCTGTATCTATGTTGCCTTTTGCTACTTGTGGAAAACCATATAAAAAGAATAAACACTACGTGAGTAGTCAGACATCTTGGCACCCTGCACAATGACTGGTCTTAGAACTCCGTCATATGGATCCAACATGAGATTGAGGAAAAGCAGAAATTCCTTCTCCTGCCCCCTAACATGGGAAAAAATACACATGCATGTTAAGTTTCTCTCTATAAGTATGAGAGGACATTTTCAGGAATGGGAGAAAATGGGGAAGATTTAATACGCTTTAATACAAATCAGTGGAGGGTTTGGAGGAGACAGTCTGGAGCAGGGGTCTCCAACCCTGGCAACTTGTGGACTTCAACTCCCAGAATTCCTCAGCCAGCTTAAAGCCAGCATACAGTCTTAAAAATTGCCAAGGTTGGAGACCCCCGGTCTGGAGGAAGGTTGTGGAGATCGCACCACCTCCTTGATTGCATGCAAAAGCTCCATGGAATTCAGAACGGAAATAGACTAAATTCAGAAATATCTATTCTACTCTAAATGAACATCACTTCCAAATTAAACCGTTTTGCAAACTTTAGGAAGAGTCCTACGTTTATCCAAATGCTCTTCTCAGAACTCTAATGGAGGGAAGGGAAAGGATTTCCAGGAGACCACATGCTGTTAAAACAAACAAATTGTACAGAGGATATACAGGAAATCAAACACACTGAGCCACAGTGCTATAAATTTAAATCACACGTGGCCTTTTGGGATCTTTCAGCATTTATTTCTTCTTTACTAACCACGCACACACAAACTGCTACATGCTCAAGATGCAAGCATTGTAAGTATTGAGTTGTACTGTATTCATTGCAATGTGACCTCTGAGCAAGAATTCAAAAACTCTGGTGTACAGCCAATGCTGTTTGTTAACAACTTACAATGAATTGCTTTGAGGGATTTGTTTTGATTTAGCAAGGCTAGCACCACAGTTTGATGGATGTCAACTGGTTTCCTACCTTCAGCTGGCCTGTTGCCCTCACCACCTCAACAAACTCCTCCTCTAGGGCAGTGATCCCCAACCTTTTTTATGCCACGGCCCGGTATCCCCAACGTTTTTTATGGCGCGGCCCGGTACCGGCATCAGCTGGGCGCCGCCATCTTGTTTTGATGAAAAAGTGCTTCTGGTGAGCTCACCGGAAGCACTTTTTCATCAAAACAAGATGGCGGCGCCCAGCAAACCAGCGGCCCGGTAGGACTTGTTCCACGGACCGGTACCGGTCCGCGGACCGGTGGTTGGGGACCCCTGCTCTAGGGCATCAAAATTCTGATCCTGCCCACTGATTCATCATTCACCAATCAGGTCTTGCCCTATGACTTCCTGGGCAAGTGGCAGTGCTTATCATCATCAACAATGCTGGCTGCTGTAATACATGACTTTGGTCTTGCATAAAGCCAAAGTAGTAGTTTTTGACTGTACTAAACACTGACTATTTTGGATGGCCGCAAAATAATATTGAATGGATGTGATTCAACGAGAATTGAAACCGAACACATCTGGTGGGCATCAGGCAGGTGAAGGCGATGCTAGGAATTGTTGTTTTCACCAGCAAACGCTGCATTGTAGAAGAGCCTTTCCTATGATCTCACTGCTGTCATTAAAGTGAATAATGTGCTAGGGATGTGTGACAATTTAATTACATATTGTAATTGAAAAGTAATTGAAGTGGAAATAAAAGCACAGGCAGACATTAATTAAGAAAAGATTTAGCTCTCCTTTGTTTTACTTGTTAAATATATAGACAATTATGGATGCCTGTTTGTATAAAAGGAAAACATATTAGGTAGCATAAAACAGATGTTTCTTTTTAACAAAACAGATTGTGTCTGTTTTATAATTGCTGTCTGTTTTTGGTAACGGTCCTGTTGAGAAGAAAGCTTTCATTATTTATCTCCTTTGTTATCAATTAAGAGGTAGAAGCAATGATGTCTTATGGAAAAAAAATATAATTTATGGATATCATGTCTATTATTCTCTGATGGAGAAGCAAAAGCTGTACAGATGTATCTTTTTGCATTGGAAAAAGCTGCATTTTCAAAGCTAGGTTTGAAACTGGAGGCTTTAATTGCCTTTAATCTTTTCCCATCTATCTGAAGTCATTTTCACACATTAGCTTCTAATATGCTTTATAAGATAAAAAACACCCAAAACTAATGTATGCTTATACTGATTCAGGTGCACATCTGGTTTCTTTCAATTATTTCCTGTATTAGCTTGAGGACACATATGTATTTCTGAATGTCATGCATAGGGGGGAAAGGTATTGTTAATGGCATTCTACTATTAAGCAGCATAAAATTTGGTGTCTTAGAGGAGAAATGTTGGAGCACCTTTAAATGGTAGTAAAGAAGTTACTACCATTTAAAGTTTAGTTTTAATTTGGATTAGGGACTTTCATTTTTTGTCTTAGGCACAAAAACTTTTGAGAGTAATTTTTATTTATTTATTTTGTCAAATATGTATTAGATAACAGATATAAGAATAAACATGATTATTAATATAAGAAATGGAAACAAATAAAAAGGGTACATTAGGACAGGGATGGTAGGCATGTTGGTGCGCTTATGCATGCCTCTTACAGACCGCTTAGGAGCGATGACCTGGAGTGTAACACAAAAGTAACAAAATCCAAAATGTAAATAAATGTCCTTTAATGCCTCCAACTTGGCCCCACTGTTCAATAATTCTCAGTTGGAGATAAAACTTATTCAAAAATAGTCTTCAAAAGTAAGCAATACAGTCCGAGCTTAATGAGCAGATAGAGGTGAAATAAAAAACCAAAACAAACTACAATGAAGGAAATTCCACAATGGACCAGGATAAGTAATTACCAACTTCAAGGAGATAACAAGGCACAGTCTGTTGGAAGGACGCCAACCAAGATAACTTCAGCCCAAAATAAAACACGCTTTGCTTCTGACAATGCTGTGTTTTAACCGTCTCTCTTATATACTATTCTCCCCAGCTGCAACCAATGAGGGGGATCATGGCTGCTTCCTCTCTCATAAGCCAAGTTGTTTCCTTCTCCATTCCTCCCTGTGTGTCCTAGGATGAAGAGGGGATGGGCCTGGTTCTTCCTCTGACTGCCCAGTCAGTCTCTGCCTTTCCCCAACCTCCTCCACAACCTCCGGAGCAACACATCCACTCCCTGTTGGCTGTTCCTTCTCTCCCTCATAATCCGACTCTAACAAGGGCATGGCACTTAGGAATTGGGTGAAGTCAACAGTAAACAGTCTAAGGTTAAAGTTTTGGAGGTTTGGGGAAGAAACCACAGAGTCAGGTAGCGTATTCCAGACATTGACCACCCTGTTGCTGAAGTTGTATTTCCTGCAATCAAGTTTCATGTGGTTTACCTTAAGTTTGTGTCTATTATGTGCTTCTGTATTGTTGTGGTTGAAGCTGAAGTAGTCATTGATGGATAGGACATTGCATAGATAATTTTATGTGCTATGCTTAGGTCAGATCAAAAGTGGCATAGTTCTAAGTTGTCTAAACCTAAAATTTCAAGTCTGGTGGCATAAGGTATTCTATTGTGAGTAGAGGAGTGGAGGACTCTTCTTGTGAAATATCTCTGGACTGTCTAGATTGTATTAATGTCCGATATGCAGTGCGGGTTCCAGACAGATGAGCTGTATTTGACAATTGGTCTAGCAAATGTTTTGTATGCTCTAGTTAGCAGTACAATATTACTGGAGAAATAGCTATGCAGGATTACTCTTAATGCCTTTTTGGCAATGTTACAATGGGCTCTAGCACTTAGATCATTAGAGATGAGTACTCCAAAGTCCTTGAGGTCATTTTTTTTTTAGTGCCATTGTAACTTTGAACAGTCACCAAATAAACAGTTGTAAGTGGAGAACTACCTATAGTATATAAAAGCTTAGATAAAAGATTTTGGGGGCTCAAAAGCTTACTCTAGATTTTCCCAACCTTCATTTTAATATGAATCTTGTGTTTTTTTTCCCCTCATCATTGTCAAGATGACAACTTTTGTCATTTCTAGTGTAAGAGAAGAATTTGTTTATCAATCTTCAGTTATTCTGTGACTTTGCTGGCATTTGGGAGTCCTGAATTTGAATGAGTGAGCCTCTTTTTCTCCATCATCCATATAATTGGCAGAGACTTTCATACACAGGCCTTGATAGATATGATTGCATAAAAAGCAAGTCACCTAAATGTTTGTAATTAATCAAAATAAATTAAACATAAAAATAAAAACATGGAGGAGGAGGCAAACCTGTCACTACTATTACACCCCCATAAGCAAAAGGAGAATTCAACAAATAAAAATATTTTTAACATAAGACCATGCAGTAATAAGTGAATTTTATATGTAAAATGTTGAGTTCAGTGATTATATTTTTTCTTGAAGATCCATGTATTTGGAGGACTCAAAATTCACCCCTTTAAGATTATTCTTTGGGGTGGGGGTTGCCTTCGTTGCTACAGTATTCTTCACAAAGATTTCAGAAATTGTTTGCCATTTACTGCTTCCTAAGGCTGAGAGGAAGTGACTGGCTGAATGTCAACCAGCTGGCTCTGTAGCTAAGATGCGACTAGAACTCATAGTCACTGACTTTCTAGCCTTTTGCCTTAATTACTACACCAAAATGGCTCTCTATTATGACATAAGGAATGATAACCAACCTTCTTCAAGATGTTTACTTGAAAAATATTCACAGATTCAGTGGGGAGCTGCACTCGCTTTTCTCCCTCACCAAATGTATACAGTTTTAAAACATGTCTCTTTCTTCTCTAATATGGAACTTACTAGAGGATTTATGGATTTTCTTAAAACATGAATTTTTAAAATATCTGATTTCGAATTAGATTGGGATAATCTGACCATGAAGGAGAAATAACTGAATTCAGGAGGACATTTCTTCTGCGACAAAGCAAAAGCAGTAATCTATAGGGTCCTTCCACAATGATCAGTTCCTGAAGTTTTGATTTTACAACTTTCTAAATAAAGCAATAAAGTCAGTGTTCATTTTTGTATCTCAATTACATTGTAAGGTTTCCTATCTTTATCATGCATGATTTAATTGTGAAAATCTCATCTATATTGCAATATATCCTTCGCAAGATATGAATGCATAATGATAAAACAGAAATGTCTATAATACTATGTTCCTTCTTTAAACATACTCTTTATGTAACAGGTGTTTGACTGCCATTTTCTTCCCAATGAAGTCAAGTACACTCACAACGGATGCCCAATTCTCGATGAGGACTTTGTCATGCTGAGGCTATATAGGTAAGCAACACCTGAGTAGCATATGAGTCAAGGGTATATGAAATATATCTCCATCTTTCTGTAGAGTTAATATGAAAAATTAATATTATTCATAAGAAAATCTACTTTTCCTTCTAGGTTCCAAAAAAGACCAAATCTAAGATTTTCATTTACTTTATTTTCATAATTTGGTCAACATTTTAGTTGGCTGTTGTCACTATTGATTAAGCATTAGTTGTGGTACATTTCACCTTTCGTACAGATATTTCACTATTGCTTCCTGGATGCTGATTGCATGGTTTCCTTATCCTTTGCAGATTTACAGAAATGGAAACTTTCACAGAAACACTCATTCTTCTTGTAAAGATACTTGAACCAGATTGTAATATTATCAAGATGAGCTCCAGTGCTTTGGAGGTCCCTGAGTTTCACGGCCTGTCTAACATAGTTAATAAGAACATAATCACTTTGGACTACAACAGGAAGATAAATTTGGAATGCACGATAAGCTTGAACTCCTTAGAGACATTTCTGCCCGCCCACGGTCAGCTTGTTATCGGAGAAAACAAAGAAGAAGTACCTAGAGGAGATCAGCCACAGAGTTCCTTCCATACAACTAGTACGTCCTGCTTTAAAAATATATTGATTATCTTGATATTATCTGCATAGTATTGAGACCAAATTGGTCTTATATCTCTGGTTAATGCTTCCCTAGAAGCCAGATTGGGTCTTTGGAGACTGCATCTGCCAACATGCAAATGGCTACACATGTTTACATACACATCTCTCATACACACACACACACACATATTTTATCCACCCTGCCATCCAATGAAACCACATTAGTCTTTCAAACACAGAGCTCTTCACCCATATGCAGCTACCAACAGTTTCTTTTCTTTTAGAAGTTAGAAAGGCTTTTTCCTTCTCTTTACTCACCATTTCAGCACCCAATGAAGTCTGGAACCATCATAGGAGCTGCAATAGATCACACAACTGGATTTTTAGGATTGTATGTGAGCTGTGGGTATCCATGTTTGTTACAGCTATCCAAGGATAGTCCTTAATTCAAAGCGGTTCTCCATTAAAAGAGTTATTCAGTGTATGTCCACTCAGCGTGAAAGAACTGTAAGAGGAAAAAGTAGTTTACTCATTGATAACATTTATTTTGATAATAGACTGAGAAGGTACGGAAGAATTGTTTTTTGTTTTAATTAAAATATCAAATGCCAGATAATTTAAAAATGTCCTGTTGTCTAAAAGTTAATGCTGTGAGTTTTAGGTCATCTCTTTTTGGGGAAGAGACGTCCATAATTAAAGTTCTTACAAGTGAGCAGGCTATTCTAATGTCATTTCTTTAATCAACCATTATATTAATTAGATGGCATGCAGTTTATTCTCTTTTTAAAAGTAAAATTCTCTAGACTAACTCTGTTTCTTTGCAGGAAGACTGTGAGAACCAAGGGGAATTAGGAAAGGTTAATATTCCTCTCCTAGCTGCATCCTTTAGATATACACTGACACACTAAAAAGTAGAATTTTTAGGACATGGGTTGAATAAGAATTTTTAAAACAAAGTGTTTAAGAAAGAATAAGATTACATACCCTCTCAAATCTGTGTACTACCCAGATCAGGACTTTACCAGTTTACTTCAAAGCAATATAAAGGGAGAGTTTATCTGCGTATCACATAACATATGGTTTGAGTATGGTTTAGTTATTTAATAATTATGGAAACTACACACGCTCAATGTACATGAAACGTGAATAGAAAATGGCTGTTTTTACCTTGTGACCAGCTTTGTTTTGCCAACATGTTTGTAGCAATTGGAAGAGTTCCATGAAAACTGCCCTGGAAGTGTGTCTGATAACAGTTGAGATATATATCCTATGGATAAATGAGAAAGGCTGACATTGTGATTTACACCTGTATCCCCAAGCACAGAATGTAGTAATCCTGGATTCTGCTCCTCAGACCTATTTACACCGATTCTGAACCATAGGATGGATGAAACTGTCTGATCAAGATTTGTATTTCAGACCTGAGGACTGTTCAGAATATCAGAGTGAGCTGTGATGAGTTTCTTCTGATGGGACTTAGATACCAACATTTGGACCCTCCTTCACCTAATATAGATTACATTCCCATCAGGCTGGATCTCACTGATACCAGAAGCAAGATTTTGTATAAGGTAAATGTCTTCGATGTAAGGTCAAAATCAGTTCTGCTTTACCTGACTCTTAACATCAAATCCAAATGTAAAGGACTCCTTATTGGTTCTGACTCTCACATTATAAAGCAGTCTCAGATGTCTTTCCACAAATGGCCTGGGATTTTGGCTACAAAAAATCTTGAGTGATGATCATAAAATGCGTCATGATCTTAGTGGATATTATGAGCAAGGTAACAGTAATTGTTCTCCCATCTCAGAACCCAGTCCAACCTGGACTCTGCAGAAAATCCCATTAACCTGAAAGACTTTAAAGAACTTCCCAAAGACAGGCAAAAATCTAACAAGTTTTACTAAGAAAAAGGATAACTCTGACTGGCCTAGCAGCCTCTTTGATTTATCTTGAGCCTTGCTACACTCTGCAATTCTCTTTCCTTGTCATATAGTCCTGTAGACCACAGGCAAGAGACCAGATGAGTGAACATAGGATTATTCAGTGACTATTATAAAATTTTGTTGTGAAACATCTGATTGGAATAAAGAGCCTATTTGTGAAGAAAGTGAAAAACTCAGTTTCAATCAGTGAAACAGCAGAAGATCAGAGTGAAGATGAGTTAGTAGTTTAGATTCAAACCCTTTAGACCTTTCTTGGCTCTGTGGACTCTTATTCCCCTAATGTGAATTGTGGAACCATCAGCATTAGCCACTCACCTTTTAAATAGCAAAGTAAATATAAATATGGCATCAATTAACTGGTTTTTTTAGGACATAGCTTCTCTCTATAAATGTGCATTTTCAGCAATGAAAAGATGGAAATACATTTTTTAAATCTCCTGGAGATTAGTGTGTGTTTGTTGTTTGTTTGTTTGTTTTTACTGTTGTCAGCTTTTATTCCACAGATGGAAATAAACAATTAGGAAAGCTCACAAGAAATGCGAGAACTGCATGTTAATAATATTTAAAGAAAAAAAGTCATTACTAAAGAATAAGCCCTAAATATAGAAACAATGTTTAAACCCTCTGGGCCTTGTCTCCATCTGTCTCTTTGTTTCTGTAATGGTCAGATCTGTTTATCATATTATTTTTCAATGACTGTATGAGAATTATCTTCCTTTGTTATATTACTGTGTTAAATGCAATGCTGATGTTCAGCATTTCCCTTCAGTTTGACCTGCTCTAAATAAACATTGTATTGGTACATTGGATAAACAATGATCAGAAGTGGAGATGGCTTATCTTATTTAACATTAAAAGTGTTATAAATATGAAGATTTCTCTCTCTCACAAAGGAGGAATCTAATTTGCTTCTTTTTTATTCCCAGTCTGAGTATGCTTGGATTCCTGTTCAGATAAAAAATGCAGTTTCTAACCAGCCCCCTCAACCCAGCTTCATGGCCATGCTCATCTTAGAAGCAGACCAATTCATCCTGAGTCCCCTATCCACAGCCATATTGGATGCTGAAGACAGTGAAACACCCAAATCTTTGTTAGTCTTTAATATCACCCAGCCACCCCAGGAAGGCTTCATTACACACCTGCAAGACCACACTAAAGCTGTCTCGTCCTTCACCTGGACCAGCCTGGATAGCATGCTGATTGCATATCAACCTCCAAACAGCAGCCATACAGAGAGAAGAAATTATGAGGTAATTGAAAGGAAGCTGATGTTCCAGTGTGGCATCTTCCTTTGTATATGAAAACTTCCCTGTTCCTGACTAAATAGTAAATGTATAGAACATGTACAGTAAAAGGATCCTATGAGGATTTCATTGTTTAGTTCTGGGTAGCTAGGAGGCAAAGAAAGCATTTCATATTATTTTTTTGCTCACAATGACTTTTAATAGTTGTAAATTGACAAATGTTAAATGATCATATTATGAAAAATCAGATGAACATCATGCATGTCTTTTGCACCAACTCTGTTAACGTAAGAGGTTTTTTCTTCTTCTGATTTTAACCAATAAACTAGAAATATTATTTGCCTTCAGCAGTGCCTGGGTCTGCAACAAAAATCACTGCTCCCTCTTGTGGAAGTTAAAATTAATAACTTACACATGAAATCTTAAATCTAGGTCTCCAAAATCGGCAACTTTAAGACTTGTGAACGTCAAGTGACAGTCCCAGAATCCCCCAGTCAGTTGAAGTCCACAAGTCTTAAAGTTGCCAAGTTTGGAGATACTGCTGTACCTTCAGAGTTGACAACTGCCTTGAATCATTGTACTGATTTAGTAGAAAGAAAATAAAGGTAAAATATTATTTTCTTCCATTCAAAATGAGATGCTGAAAGCTGTTGCGCAAAAGAATTTGGTCCCAAATTATTGATGCCATAAATGTTACTGATTGTAAATTATGTCTCTCTAGAACAGGGTTGTCAAACTTATGTCGTCACGGTGGCGTCACGTGACATATCAGGATTCCCCCCCCCCTTTTGCTAAATTGGGTGTGGGTGTGGCCAGTGCATGACGCATCTGGCCCATGGGCTTGGAGTTTGACAGCCCTGCTCTAGAATATTATTTAGTGGTTGTTAGATTTGTTCTCATCTTGAAGCAGATTTATGTATGTGGTCACTAAGAGTTGACACCTAATCGACAATCAGATCTGCCCAGCAATAATGAGCCATGACCAACTTTGGTAATCTTAAAAAAGATTAGACAAATTCATGGAGGAAATGTTCTTACTTGTACTAAACATAACGTGCTGTAGATGGCCTCCATTATCAAAACCATTTGCCTCAGCTGTATTTTCGTCAGGAAAGTGAATGGGATGACATTATTTTGCTCTTGTCCTGACTACACAATTCCCATATTTTCCCATTAGCTGCTGTGGGGACAAAACTCCAAACTATACTTTGCAGAGTGGGAAATAATGTTGAGTAAACAGTTTGCATCTGTTTTATTTCATAGGTGGAATTTGAAGTTTATGATTTGTACTTTGAAAAAAGTGTGCCAATTACTCTTTATATCTCTGTGAGAACAGCAGACACAAATGCACCAAGGGTTTCATGGAACATGGGTGAGATTTTTTTTTTAATGACATAATATCTTTGATTTAAAATTCAAAGAACACTTACAAGATCAAATTAAATAAACCATGGAGATTTCTAGCAGCTCTAATCTCTCTTGGCTTTGGGGTAAAGTAGTAAAATACGCAGAGAAAAAACGTGGTTTTAAACAAAGAGTTAGCACTGAATACAATGGGTACAGGTCTCATTGCTGTTTATGATAATATGTATTCCTAGGAAATCATACAGTCACAAAGTTGGACAATTATTCTGTAGGAAGTTAGCACCCACCGCTCTCCTAGAAAAATGAAATATCCTAGGAAATATTAAAAAGGCAGAATATTTCCCCTAAAAAGAGTAGAAACTCAGAAGCAGAAACTCACCTCAGAAGCAGAAACTCAGCCCCCGCCCACCTTTGCTAATGGACCATTACTCTAGCCTAGGCCAGCCTATTTTACATAACAAAGATCTCCAGGTAGAGCTATAGGAATTGCCCAAAGCCCTTTCATTACATCATCATCCAGCAAGGCTCAACCAAGCCTGGGACTCAGGACAGCCTACAGAGTTGCCCCTGCATGGCCCCATGGGAGTCTGACAACCAATCAGAATATAAGCTCAAATTCAAATCGCAACAAAGGGTATATAACTAAAGGTCTCTCAGCATCTTGGCCCTTCTTCTTTTCCTTCACCCAACATCTTGAAGCATGTGATCGTCCTTTTCACTTTGGAGCTTCAAGGCATGTGGTCCTGTCCACCATTAAACCATCTTTCCAAACAGCCTCCATGTTTCCTCCATGTTTTTCCCCACTTGGAACTGAACCCAGAAGGATATTTCTTCCAACAGTTCAAGGAAGCACAGGAAATCATCCATAACAGATGGCTGCCTAAGGATTCATTTTCACATGGTACTTAACGTGGTACAAAGGTGTCCCACTGACCATTTGCTAAGGGCATGTCCTCACAATGGATCCTCCATCTTGTAGGCAAATGCCACTAAAGTGAACTAAAGCTGGTCCAACATTTTCTGACCTGAAAATAGCGTTTTCCACACTATCAGCATAAAACCTCCCATTGACTCAATCCCAAAGGGGATGGAGAAGCAGTTCTTCCTTGCTAGGTGGACAGCAAGTTGAAGGAAAGTAGTTATGAGGGATTGCAGCAAGAAGAGGGAAGTAGTTATGAGGGAGCAACTTTCTGTTTACATTTAATGGAGCTGTGTCATACTGGCCTACTTCCTGCTACTGTGTGGCCTAGTGTATGCCTGATATCCAGTAAAAGGGACCTAATAATTTCTTAGAAAAGTTCATTTTATTATCAAGCTATTTGTTAATAGGTTTTTCCTGATATGAAGTTAGAATCCAAGATCCACTTTGGTATAGTGGTTAAGGTTTTGGACTGCAGCAGCCCCGAGTTTTAATTTTCCTAATTCTGAGAGTTGAAGTCCACGAGTAGAGTTGCCATGGTTGGATACCTCTATTCTGCAATAAAGCACAGTAAAATCAGGTGATGTGGAATGTAAAACAGAGAAATATTTCTTTAAAGACTAATCTATGAATGTTTTTTTAAGTTCCTATAAAAAAAAATTATCGGATGCATAAAAATATAACCTATATTTTCATTGTATACCTGTACCTATTATTTTCTCATGTTAAATATTTCTCATATTGAATGCATAGTAGTGCAATAACTCTGGCTGTATCATTGTTTCTCTTGTCTTTTTTAGGTCTTGATCTTCTGGAAGGTCAGTCTCGCCCAATAACATGGGAGCAGCTTCAAATTGTAGACAATGATGATATCAGCAGCGTTCGCTTGGTCCCTGTGGATGGGTTACAACATGGGCAGCTCACTGTAAGAGGTATCATCTTCCTTCTAAAGTCTGACTGAAGTAGTCGCAATTTGGTTCTAATATTTTTTCCCTTGTTCACCCAAATGTTTCTTTCATAGTCTGGACCAGAGGAGGGATCACCTTATGTCCTACTTTCTATTTCTATTCTGTTGTCGTTATGGACACCAGAGGGTTAAAGCCAGGGGTGGGATTCTACCGGTTCTGTCCGGTTCTATAGAACCCCTTGTTAACTTTCTAAGTAGTTCGGAGAACTGGTAGTTAGAAGCAATCTCCTTTTGTTTTTTTCCACCCTTATTACATTCTTGGCAGTACGCCTAGACTTCCTGTCTCTGGAGCTTCTGGGGCTTGACTTTCTTAAAGGGGAAGGGTTGTTTTAAGATATTTACACTGCTGTTGGGAGGAAATACTTCCCTGGACAATCAGCACTTTGAAGAAATAATTGAATAATGAAGCAAAGCTTTTAGTGACAGGGAACCAAGATGAGTGACATTCAGCAAGGCTTCTTGGCTGGCTAGAAAGATTGACATTCAAACGTGAGTTTACATAGCCTTTCTGAGTTTTGGTCTAAAACTGTTTTTTGGTGAAGGTTAATTCTGTGCTTGGTGATGTTTAATCCTGTGTTTATTGATGGGATAATTTTCCCTATTCAGCTTCAACAAGCAACAGCTACTGTTGTGAATTAATTATTTGTATTGTGTTTGAATTTTTTCCTGCCTCATGGTTTCTTTTTCTATCTGGGGAGGGGGTCCTTCACTGCTTTAGTACTATCTGGCACTGTCCTTTTGGGGTATACTTCCAAGAGGCAGGATGCAAGCTTGGCACTGATTTTTTTTACTGCCTTTCTTGGGGGCATGTGACCTTTCCTTAAATCTGGATGATTTCCTTAGGATATCTTGTGAGGTAAGTGAGACTAGCTGTTATCTTTAAGAGGTGCAAATGGATCTAAGGATTGCTTTTCCTGGGTGTGCTTTTTCTGGAGAGCTTAAATGATCTCTCTGCTAAAGGGTTTCACTTTATGAGCAAGAATTGGCTGCTTGGTAGTTGTCACTGCATTTTAACTATTTTAATTCCTCAAGGTGCTCTGGCACCCTGCCTGATTTATAACTCTGGCTTGCAAGTATTCAATGATTGGTATTTAGGGCAGCTTTTTGCAAGCAAAGAAGCCTTTTATATTTTTGTACAGGTAATCCTTGACTTACAACAGTTCATTTAGTGACCATTCAAAGTTACAATGGCACTGAAAAAAGCGACTTATGACCATTTTTCACACTTATGACCGTTGCAGCATCCCCACTGTAATGAGAGGCCAGGAGGGGAGAAGCACCCCTTGACATGAGTGATGTTGAGTTGGCCACGCCCGCCCAATCACATGACCACCAAGCCATACCCACCAACTAAGCCACGCCCACAGAACCGGTTGTTAAAAAAACTGAATCCCACCCCTGGTTAAAGCTGGAACAGAACAACAGAGTTGGAAAGAACTTTGCGGGCTTCTAGTCCAGCCCATGAAATTGTGATTAGATGGAGTATGTTGGATAAGGAGCAAAAATCAGAAAAGATTTGCCTTATTTTTATTTATCCCTTTCTGCACTTATATTTTTGTTTTTGCTGAACTTTTTTTCTTGCTCCATAGTGTGAGATTTCAATTCAGTTCAGTTCTGTGCCTCAATTTCCTACTTCCTGTTGAACTTCTGTTAGTGGGTGATAATTGGAGTGTCCACTGAGAATGAGCTGAAGTGGAAAGTGTTACTCTTTGCATATTGCAGAGGGAGGGGGGAGTAAATTTTGCCTAAAAGGCCAAAGTGTTGGTGTGTATTAGGAGGGAAGAAGCAGAGTTCTCTGAATGTATGTATGTGTGTGTGCCTGTTGTGTATATAGGCAGAGGCGTCAAACTCGTGGCCCCCTGACCGGATGTGTTATGCACTGGCCACGCCCACCCCTAGTTTAGCAAAGGGGATAAAAGTTGCAATACGTGTACTAACATACACACTGTAGAAATAAATTGCAATGTGAATTGTCTAAATTTGAAGTATGTTAGTTCAGATTAATTCAAAAGTAACACAATATTGATTTGATTGAAAAGCATTTGACAACAAACCAAAATGTTGTCCTTAAAGTTGACAATACAGGTAGTCCTTGATTTATGACCATAGTTGACCCAAAACAACACTGATGCTATTGTCCTGTTTCTCATCTCAATTGCATTGTTTTATAAAAAGGAATGCAATTCCCAAGGTAGCTTCTAATACAAATTGTTCGCCCTTCTATTGTCTAACAGGAGAGAAAGGATTCGTGTTTAATGTCTTGGATCTGAAGACTGGAGTTGTTCGTTACCATCATGATGACAGCGATTCCACCAAAGACTCCATTGTTTTTAGGATCTTTGATGGCCACCACAGTAGCCGCCACAGGTTTCCAATCAATATTCTGCCCAAAGATGACAGCCCCCCTTTTCTCATTAGTAATGTTGAAATAGAAGTCCATGAAGGAGAAACGATCTTGATCCAAAGCTCAATGCTTCGAGCATCGGATATGGACTCTAGCGATGACTACATTCTCTTCAATATCACCGGATCACCCCAAGCAGGAGAAATAATGAAAAAACCTAAAACAGATTTTATTGGTAATGAGCTCAGCATCTATGGCAATCTTTATTCCTTTTTCCTTTTCTTTACACAATGTTTGAGTTCTGTTTTCATATATGCATGGAGATTATTTTCAGCTACGCATGAGATTTCACGCTTGTCCACCTTATTATTTGGTGCTTATGTTTGTTCCTTTTGCTAAGAACTGTACAAATGCATAGTAGAGTCACAACTTCTATTATCAAAAAACACCAAGAGTAAACAACCTGAAACTCTCGGACCACATGATTCTAAAAGTCTTGGCTATAGGCTTAATTTGTCACAAAGTATAACTTTCACTGAGACAGGATGTGAATGAGAATTTATGAAAGACAAGAGGTGCAATCTTATCAATTGTATCAATTAATATTTGATTGGATTTATATTTAAATATAACCATGGTTATAAATTCAACAAAATTTAATTTTCATCTGAGTCCACTCCCCCGACCAATTCCATATGTTTTTGACATACAGGTAGTCCTCGACTTCCGACCACAATTGAGCCCAATATTTTTGTTGTTAAGTGAAGCACTTGTTAAGTGAGTTTTGCCTCATTTCTTGTTGCAGTTGTTAAGTGAATCACTGCAGCTGTTAAAGTTAGAAACACGGTTGATAAGTGAATCTGGCTTCCCCATTGACTTTATTTGTAAGAAGGGCGCAAAAGGTGATCACATGACCCCAGGACACTGCAACCGTCATAAATATGACTCAGTTGTCAAGTGTCTGAACTTTGATCATGTCATCATGGGGATGCTGCAACAATTGCAAAAGGGAAAAATAACCATAAGTAACTTTTTTCAGTGCCGTTGTAAGATTGAACGGTCACTAAATGAATAGTTTTAAGTTGAGGACTACCTGTATTGCCTTTGGTATGTCATTCAAAATTAAAATGAATTCCTCAATAACAAAGGTGGGATATAAACAAACAAACAAATAAGTACATTCTCCCTTGAAATTCTATACCCATATATCTGCAGGGAGGAATAAAAAAGTTAAGATAGCTGTGACAGTGTGATCAAAGACCTAACCTGTTTTATATGCATACAATTGACTGCACAATTGAATCATTATCTTTATTGTTTTGACTCCTACAAATGCTTCTGTTTGAGAAATAAAGTAATTGTTGTGTAAAGTTTGACACAGGAAATTTCTCCTAGAATATGAGCATGGTGTTTATTTATAACAAATATAACTTATATCTTTCCTAAATAAGTAGGAACAATAGTAAAGCTTAGAAGGCATATTAAAAGAAAACACCAAAGAAATGTAAAGTCTTATGTACCTCAACAGCATTAAAGAAATTGCTAATTTCAGAATTAATACAGAATAACCATGTCTAAGATTTCATGCTCAAAAAGTTATAATATTAGTGACCTCTGCTATTCTAAGTTACGGACTTCTTTCTGTTATTTAACAGGTTATCCAGTTACTAAATTCCTTCAGAAAGATCTGTTTAATGGGATAATTTACTACCATCACTTAGGAGGAGAAATATTTGAAGATTCAGTAGAGCTGATTCTGTGTGATAGCCATGATCCTCCCAATCTTTCAGAAATTCAGGTAAGATTTAGAAATCATTATAGGGAATGAGAGAGAATGCAGTGACATTTCTGTATAACTAAAATATATAGTGTTAAATTCACCTACAAATTAGCATGTCCCATTTGTAGCATGCAAATATATTAGGATGACCTTTTCTCACCCAGATAGATCAAATTCATGATTACATATTAAGATTAATATTGTTAGGTTCCTTCCTTACTCCCTGGATAGCTGAATCTGTCTAAATATGTGACATTGCAAGGATAGATCAAATACCTTTATTGCATACTACAATGAAATAATTTCTTTTCCCCAGCTTTTGAATGTTTAATCACAGCTTTGCATGTCTCATATTTTTTTTTTACTAATGCCAGTTGATTGTTTACCTAATCAGAATTCTTATCTTGGAAAAAAACTAGTTCTCAATGTACTTCCCACAACCATATTTATGATTGGTAGAGGGGGATGATGGAAGCTGTAACTCAGGCTTCAAGGGGGGTATCAGGTTGGAGAAAACTCTTATTTTGTACCAAGTAGAGAAATGGCATTGCAAACTTATAAAAATGCAGTGAACCTGATTTAAATTAGATGCAATACTAGGAGCATATATAGCTGCCTTTTAAGTTGTTTGTTCTAGAAGATTTCAGAACAAAGAACTGCAATATTTCAGGAAGTGTCCAGGGACTTCTAAAATATAACACAGATTAATTTAAACAAAATGTACAGAACAACATTTTACAAGATTGCCAGCTCTTGCAACCTGCCCATGTGATAATTTGTGAGTACACATCAGGGGTGGGATTCAAATTTCTTAACAACCAGTTCTGTGGGTGTGGCTTGGTGGCCATGTGACTAGGTGGGCATGGCTTGCTGACTGGGCATGGCTTGGTGGTCATGTGAGTGGGTGGGCATGGCTTGTATGTAAATATTATAAATATTTATGTAAATATTGATTTTTTTTATAAAAAAGGAGCAACTTTTACCCCAAAGCAGGCAAAGCAGACAGGCAGATTGAGTTGCTCACAGAATCACAGATTCACTTAGAGATCTGTCTATCTGCAATCGGCTATCTGACTCTGTCACATAAAATTTGCTTGCAAGCAAACTCACAAAATTAACTCACAACAAACCATGTATGTAAATATTGATTTTTTTATTTAAAAAAGAGCAACTTTTATCCCAAAGCAGGCAGGCAGATTGAGTTGTTCACAGAATCATAGATTCACTTAGAGATCTATCTATCTGCAATCAGCTATCTGAGTCTGCACTGAAAAGCTTCAGTCCTAAGGAAGGTTCAGCTCTGCTTTTAGATTAGCTAGAAAGCAAGAAATCCAAGAATGTCCTGCTTTCTAGCTAATCTAAATCTCTTGGCAGAGCAGAACAGCTAATGGTTGGGTGGGGGAAGGAAAAATAGCAACTTATCAAACCAGGCAAGTTGGATGGCTCGCATGAGTGGGCGGGGAGGGGAGGGGGCCAGCCAGTGGAACGATTTGCTGGTTCTCCGAACTGGGAACAATTGTGTGTGCAGCATTTGCAAGAAATCATCAGCTATGCCGCCTGGACAGCTGACAAGTGCTGCGCTCTGGTGTGCAGCCTTTGAAAATCCTCTTGTTTCCTGCTTTTTCAACTTCAGCTGTGCCGTGCAAACCAGCTGAGGAGGGAAAAGCAGGGAATAATGGACAGCCTAGAGCCCGGGCAGGCAGGTGGGCCAAACACAGAACCAGTTTGGTGTCAGCTGCTCTTCGCAGCTACAGGTTCTATAGAACTGGGCCAGACCGGTAGCATCCCACCCCTGGCGCACATGTAAAAATGCTAAAATCTCATTACATTTTTTTAAAAAATAGGAATAGTATCTAGGTAAATGTGGAATCTGATCATGCTTGAAAAAATTGACAATCCTTGTGCTTGAGGTGTGTGGTCCAACAAGTTGCATAGATTTGTTTTAAATGCCATGATTATTTAATTGCAGCATTTTGGATAGTCTCTTTTAAAAAAAATCAGGGTGTGATAATTTTTCTTATTTTTGTTATCCTAGATAATAAGAGTGCACATAATTCCTGTGAATGATCAGCTGCCAAAAGAATTTCCAGGAACAAACCGTCATCTGACTGTTAAGGAAACAGAGATTGCTTATTTAACAAAGACACACCTTCATTATATAGACATGGAGACCCAGGATAGTGAGCTAATATACACCATAACATCTCCCCCATTCTTCTCCTTAGCACATGAGTAAGTCTCAGGGGATGTACACTTCTCTGAAGAGAATACAACTAGTCCTCAACTTACAACCATTCATTTAGTGACCATTTAAAGTTACAACGGCGCTGAAAAAGTGACTTATGACCATTTATCACATTTATGACAATTGCAGCATCCCCCATGGTCACGTGGTCAAAATTCAGACGCATCATATATTTATAGTCCTCCGGGGTCATGTGAGACCTTTTGAGAAGCAATGTCAACAGGGGAAGCCAGATCTACTTAACAACCGTGCTACGAACTTAACAACTGCAGTGATTCCCTCAGCAACAGTGGCAAGGAAGATCATAAAATGGGGCAAAGCTCGCTTGACAAGTATCTTGCTTAGCAACTAAAATTTTGAATTCAGTTGTGGTTATGAGATGAGGACTACCTGGATATCTGTGTGTTTTCAGGCTCGGCTATCTTTTGATGGTCAGTTGGGAGTATTTTTAAGGAGAGATTTGAAAGACTCTTGCTTCTCGGTTTGTTTTATATTATGTGCATCTTGACTGATTAGTTTCCCAGTTTTTTTACATTTATTCAGGCCCGTGCCAGCAATCACTTATTCTACCTGCATGGATGGGTAGAGGTAGGACTAGATTATATGTACAACTCTAGAGACAGCCTTCAATTTACATCTAAGCAGAAATTTGAAGATACTTTGTACCTTCATATCTTTGACATATGTCAAAGCATCATAGAGCAAAAACATGAGAAGCTGATCAATGACAATGAATATGGATCCAACAGGAATAAATAGAAATAAATAAGCAGATCTAAAATGGCGTCAGGAAGCCATTTGAAAACACAGTTATGGTTATTTGAATTGGGAAGCTTCAGATTGTGCACATGGCTTTAAGAACTATTAAGCACACAGGTAGCTTGCCATAATAACATCTCAGTATTATGGACATTATACAGTTGTGGTTACATGTAGTCCTGGACTTATGCCTGGTCACTTAGTGGACCCCTCCAAAAGTACTTATGACTCAGTTCTAGAGTTTCAATAGCTGCATACATCCTTGCAGTTACATGACTGCATTTTGGAGTCAAATCTGCAATCGACTTATCTTTATGGGCAGTTGTTGCATTCTGCGGTGACATGACCACAATTTATGATATTCTTTTGTAAATTTCTAGTCTTTGAGGCAAAAAAACGCCCCTCTAGTCTTTGGGACAAAAAACGCCCCTAGGAATACAGTAATTCACTTAACAACCATGGCATTTGCTTAATGGTCATAGAAAAATCTGTTATAAAATCAGATCTGTATGTTATCTACGTTCAAGTACTTACACAGACATTCTGTGGTTACAATTATTTTGCTATAAATTAGTAGAGAGACAGTTATAAGAAACTTTCTGTCCTATTTTGGAATGACGGTATTTCTTCTCTTTTCAAAACATCTGGTGATTTTGTACACATATATGACAGTACTTTTTTTTTTCTGCAGCCACACAGATGCTGGAAAATTGTTCATGGTAGAGAGTATTCCTAAGCTTATCAAGGATCCTTCTATTCCATCACTAAGATCATTCACTCAGGTTTGTTATTAAGTTTACCTGAAAATATCCCATCGTGCATTATACCCACCTTACTTAAAAAGAGTCAGTTGAAAAACAAGATGCTCTCATATGATTAGAAGCAGTTTTCACTACATGAAAACTATAAAGGAAAAAAAAAGGCTAAATTTAATGCTAGTTTTAAAGAATTCCCATGTAGTCAATCTTAATTTTATCTAGGATGGTTTCATGGTGGGTTTTTTTCCTGCAATCTGCAATGTTTTTAGTAAACATTTTCAAATCCATAATTGAAAGGTCTTTTACCTTCATTTCCTCATTCCTTTTTAATGATCAGCTTTCACAGCTGTATAATAATTGAAATGTAAAATATAAAAGTGGGTTATTGTTAAAAAAAAAATGTGTGCACAACTAGATTAAAGCAGGGCTGGACAAGTATGGCAACTTTAGGAACTGTGAATTTCAACTCCCAGAATTCCTGAGCCAGCATGGCTGCCTTACCCTTGGAGTATGATTGAAAATAGTATGACTGAAAATATTTCCTTATTTTAAAAACGATTAGTGATGCAGATACAGAATGCAAGATTTTTTTAAATGCTATATAACATAGATTTGTTTAACTATTTTGCATCCTTAGCACGCCATAAACCACATGAAAGTTGCCTATGTGCCACCCATGGAAGATATTGGTCCTGAACCCCAATATATCCAGTTTGCCTTTTCCATCAGCAATCAACATGGGGCAACTGTGTATGGCAACTGTTTCAACATTACTGTCCTTCCAGTGGACAATCAGTCTCCAGAGGTAAGTTATGACCGGCCACTTAGTGATCATTTGAAGTTAGAATGGACTTCCCAGGGAGTACTTATAACCTGGTTCTGAAGTAATGACAGACATGGCCCTGGTGGTTACGTGACCTCATGCTGGGTGCTTAGCAATTTAGAGCACTTAGAGCCATTTGCAGCATCCTGTGGTCACATGATACCAAAAAGGTTGTAAAGGGTCAGTCCGGTAGGCGATTTGATTTACACCTGTCATGACTTATGACCATGATGAGCAGACTGCATTATAGTCCTAAGTTGAGGACTATCTGTATATCACTTACGTCTGAGTTTCAGTAGGTGTAGAAGCTAGGCATAGATTTTGTTCATTTATTTTCAGATGTGGATGTTTTTTTTTTTTCAAAATCATTTCCTCAATTGTATTTTGGTATGATTTTAAAACAATAACCATAATAGTAATAGTGATATTTGAGAATGGAATCACGTTTTATGAAACATGGCTTTTCCCAGAGAAAAAGGTGGGGTGGGCAAAACAGGTTCAGGAAAGGGAATAATAGATAGAAATAGGAAGTTTTAATACTTTCTGATGCTGTCAATTCTTCTTTGGAATGATCAGTTTTCCAATTTCTGAGCTAGGACAATGGGAAAATCAGTTTTAAAAAAAACTGTGAGAGAAGTCAGGGGGATTGTAAAAGATTAAACTTTCTTCGTTTCCATATTGTGCTTTTCAAGTTTCTCTACTGTTGTCATAGGACGGAAAGCTTTTGCAAAATATAAAGCTGTCTATGTTGTAGGCTGGCAGTCTCCAACCTTTCTGGCTCGGGGGATTGGCAGAGGTGGCAGCAATGGGGAGAGGGAATGGTTTCGCGCATGCGCATGCCGCTTTCACAAATGTAGCTTACCCAAGGATGAACTTCAACCTTTTTAGCAACAGGTTCTCTGCCCGGTTGTTGGGTGGGCATGGCCATGGTTGGCATGGCCTAATCTGTCTCCTGCACCACAGCTCCGGAGGCTTTCCTCAAGCCTCTGGGTGGGCGTAAACAGCCTCCTCAGGATCCGGAGGTTTTCTGGGAGCTGGAAATGGGCCCATTTCCAGCCTTCCCAAACTTCTGGGTGGCCTGTTTTTTCTCCTCCCTGAGCCTCCGCGCACATCCTGCACTTACAGGCCGCATGAAGACTTCTGGAAATGGCGGGGTGGGATGGGCGGGGCCAACCAGGAGTGGGATTTGGGGGTTCTCCAAACTGTGCAGAATCTTAGTTAGGGGTTTGAGAGAACTCCCAGGAGCCCATCCCTGAGCCTCACGTGCATGCTCGACCACCACTTCCATATCCTGGTTCCAAACAGACTGCGGGCCAGTATCAGGTTGTGGACCAGGAATTTGGACTCTGTGTGGTGTTGTAGGCTATTGGAATTATATTATTTTTGTTACTTTTCATATGGTCTGAGATTTTTCCCCCCCACTTAGAAACATTCACAATCTGTTAAAATAAGCACATTTTAGGTGTAAATGGATAGAATCCACAATTCTCATTCGTTTTCCTATGTGGAAAAAAAAGTTTAATTGGACTGAGAAGGAGTTAGTACTAGAAATAAATAGGCTGTTAAAGCGCAAGTGATGATTTGCCTGTTTCCTTACATTTTCAGCATTAGCATCGTCTTTCTCTTATCTTATGATGCCTGTATTTCAAAACTGAGACATTATTCACTGTATCTGGAATTAGAACAAAGCAAAACTGGTCTTTCATTTGAATCACAAGGCTATTGAGTTTGAAAGTTGAGTTTTGTCCACTTCTGGGAATTCTTTGCTTTAACCTTTCTCCCTGTCCTTGCTAAAAAAACCAACCATTATTTTTCCTCTAATCTTTGTACAAATGTAAAGTCAGAATATTAGAATACAGCAACACATTTCAAATTTTAAGTTTTTGAGGACAACATAGAGCATCTGTTTTGACTTCAGGGTTCTTACTTCACTGGAAAATGTTCTGATGCCTTGCTTGTGCTATTACACGCATTCTGAATTAAAAACAGCTGTTTCCTGCTGAGAAAATTTCAAATTTCAAAAGTCAACCTCTACTCAGCATCATTGGGGAAAAAAAACACTGGCTGTAAAACTGTTAACATATGCTGTATGAGAATTATTGTTGTAGAGAGGGGTGTCCAACCTTGGCAACTTTAAGATTTGTGGACTTCAACTCCCAGAATTCCTCAGCCAGCAAAGCTGAGCAAAGCTGGCTGAGGAATTCTGGGAGTTAAAGTCCACAAGTCTTAAAGTTGCCAAGGTTGGACACCCCTGCTGTAGAGTGATTTAAATGGAATAAGAAAATGATGGTTTGTGGGGGTGGAAGATTAATTACACAGATCAGTTCATGCAAGATGAAAAATGGGGAAGGGGGGAAGAATAGCAATTTATTGTATATCCTTTTTGTGTGGAATTGAGGTGAGAGTGTTTTTATTGCTCCAAATTACGAGGGAGTAGTCATTCAAGAAGTGGGACACTCTTACTTCGTAGTTTTGTGCGGTAGAGATAAAAGTTTTGTCAACTGAAGATAAAGAAAGTGGGTGTTGACTGGTTCATAGTGTTCTCTGTATGTGTTTTGCATTTTAAGGTTGGCAGAAGTGAAGATGATAATGGGGTCAATTACAGATTTTGGGAGGACTTGTGAGTGGAACCGGCAGAAACGGAACTACCATACGATTTTTGAAAGCTCAATAAATCTAGCCAAATATAAGTACTCCTCATAGCAGGAATACCACTTCCACAAGGTAGATCCCTCAGAAGGGCTGAAACCACTTTGAGTTTGGCTGTAGTAACAGAAAGTTCCTAATCTGATAGTGTTGCATCTCCTCCCATTATTTATTAGGGAGGCATCCAGTGGTGGGCTGCAACCGGTTTAACATTCAATAATGTGAGCATTCAATAAACACCAATTTGAACCTCACCTTCACCTCCGGCTCACCATCTAGTCTTCCCCGGTAAGAAGAGCAAGCAGCTGAAGCACGGTAATCCACTTTGCCGTGCATATCAGCTAAGCTGCAAAAGAAGGAAATGTAAGACAGGATAGGGCAGGTGGGCGAGGCCAACTGATTGTTGTTCATACCGGTTCACTAGAACTGGTAGCAGCCCACCACTGGAGGCCTCTCTCTGAATTAAGAAGGCATCTGTCGGAATCACTTCCAAATGCTAACTGGTTGTTCTGGGCTTAGAAATTGTTTTATTCTTTCTCACTGTGGCAGAGGAACTTGCATATCTCCCTCATCGCCATCTACCTTATCTCCTGCAATAAGAAAATACAATGTCAGAAAATTATAGTTTTTCATTTTGGGCACAAAGGCTGACCCTCTTCAAGTCTGACGTTGACCAATTGAGAAATATTGTGGAGAGTGTCTCCAGAATGCAAAACTTCTTTTTTTTAGATGGGAGATTTCGAATCCTGCAGAACTGTGTTCTATGAAAAAATATGCCCCAGTACTAAAACATCAGCAAAAATATTACCCTAAGAGAAAAGGACAACTGTTGTATCTTTTCTTCTGCTTAGGTGCTTACACACAGCTTGAAAGTGGAAGAAGGGGGCCAGAGCACCATTACCAAAGGCCATATTTTGATTTCAGATGCGGACACCAAACTGGAAAACATACGTATATATCTCCTTACGCTTCCTCTTCATGGAACTGTTGAATTAAATGAGAATCCAATGAATCAGAGAGATTGGCTGACGTGTGAAGATTTACAGATGTCCAAAGTCAGGTTAGGGAGCAAATTGCTTTTGCTGTGAAGCCATAAGCCTGATTTCAATCAAGCCTGATCTAATTTTGATGACCGGTAGCCTGTCTTATATTCATCGGCAAGCAAATACGTTTCAATTCTTTCCTGTCCTCTCCATATTAACTCTTTGCAAATATAAACTAGCAGGTCTGAGAAAATTGATCCAAAATTGTCAATTTTATTTTGAACAGTTGATTCTGTATGTATAACTAGAAGCCCAACCTTCCTACAGAGAGATACCAAGATATATCAGAGTATATAACCTCCATGACCTTCAGGCAGCATGATCAATGCCCAATGAGAAAACATCAGTTATAATTGACCTCACCGAAAGGGCCCCAAATAGAGGTGTGTGTGTGTGTGTGTGTGTGTGTGTGTGTGTGTGTGTGTGTGTGTGTGAGAGAGAGAGAGAGAGAGAGAGAGAGAGAGAGAGAGAGAGAGAGAG